ATATGTTTGAGGGAAAATAAAAAAGGAAATAATCATTGAATGGTGTAGAGTTAGACGACTTCAGAGTGACACTCTAAAGCCCCTAACTTGGTTTCTTGTTTAGATTTTCATACGAGATGTTAGCCCTCAGGTGAAGGGAACCGAGGGAACTCTATAGTGAGAGCTAGTATCTTTCCTGCCTAAACGGTCTTCATAACTATTACAACATTAAATTAACCAATGTTCTTTATAACATCTCTAGTAAGGGTAATTAATAATATTTCTCATATTTGGAACAACACAATTTGAATACTTTCACAACATAATTCCTATATTTATTACTAATTCTTGCTAAGGAGAAAGATATTTCGTATTCAGTGCTTTTTTTTTACATAAACTGAAGTTATCTTTAATAAGTTTTTAATTCATTTTCAAACATTAAAAATACAAATAAAAGTTAAAATTTTATTCCTTGATAAAAACTATAGTTTAAGTATTTGTCTTTTTAAAATAGAAAGTTTGTTACTTTAATTATCACATACTATGAACAATTCCTATGGGTTCGATAGGTGGGTTCGTTATCCAGGTCTTAATCAAAAGTCCTATTTTACTTGATAATGATATGTATACTTGCATAGTATCCCAATATATAAATTAAAGAGTTAAATTCTTATTTTCTTTTGGATCAAATTTTTGGTTCTGTTGCAAATTAAGGAAATATAAGTGAAAATTATAATCAAATACATTGTTATATTATTGCATATAAACAATCGGGATCAAAAAGCAATCGGGATCAGTCACCATCTGACTCAAGGAGGTAAGGGCTAGGTCATGGTGAATTCAATTAATTGTTATATTGTTGCATATAAACAGTCGGGATCAGTCACCATCTGGCTCAAGGAGGTAAAGGCTAGGTCATGGTGAAGTCAATTAGTAGGTCATGGTGAATTCAATTAAGGGTTGACATGTGCAAAGGTTATTAACTAAAATGGAAGGGGTATTGGGCTAAGTTAGGCCAATCATGGGTCTAGTCCAATTGGAATGAGCTTGGGTGGCTCCCCATGGCTAACCAAGGTCAGGTGAGCCAGTTAAAATGGTATGGGGAAGTCCTCATCCATTGGATTTGGTTGAACATGAATTAAAGTGTATCATTAAAAATGTTGAAAGCCTTTTTTAGGGAGCTTGAAAGTGTCCCCTCATTTTGTCATTAATAGTTTGGTGAGGTGAGAAAATCTCATATGGCTCACTTATAGCTTGGGCATGGCTTCATTGCTTGTCCTTGGCTTGGCTAATTTGCATGAGAAAGGATTTTTGGATTATATGAGGTATTTTGATGGTGTTTGTCATGAGGCTTGATATAGAATGATTTTGGCATGAATTGGAAACTTAGGGAATGATTTTGATTAAAAGGATGATGTGGAGAAAAAATCATCATGTGGGCTTTTAATTGAATCTTGGGCTTTTTGAATGACTTAAGGGCTTGGGCTAATAATAGTGGAGATGGGGAAGGTAAATAGCGGAGAGGAAAGCCATTACGCTTTGGGATGTCTATTCCATCAATTCATAGCCCACTCTGTATGTTCTTTTTGTTGACAAAAAAAAAACTTCACTTCATGTGAATAACACGCATGCTGAGATGGATGTTTGTGCCCATCAAAGGTTCTTGTTTGATTGTGGCTTTGCTTTCTAAGACTTCACCATCTCTTTGCTTTTAATGTTAAAGTTAAATCTGGGCAACTTTTGTCCTTCTTCTCTTATTCAAGAAAGATGTTTCTCTCTATACGTGATAATGCGTAATAGTTTTATAACTTTTTTTTGTTAGGTTGGCGTAATGATTTTTACATAATTTTAGTAAGCTTCTAGTTATGCAAAACTACATGCCTAGTTAGTATTTAAAGATGAAAATTTGTGCCATTTTGATTCACTAACATAGTAGCATGTGCTATTTTATGTTATGTTTATTAACATAGTTGTTTGGTTTGGTAGCACTTTTAAATAACACAGTTACAAAACTAAGATCTAACTTCTCTTTGATGACATTTAGATGTCGTTCCAATATGATGATTTCTAGATGTTAAACCTAATGATTGTTAAATTAAAGGGGTATTTATACACTACACAATTCACATATAAATTTACACATCTAAGACCTAAATTTGATATTTACAAGCATAACACTCAATTCTTTGACATCTATATTATTAATTAACCTTTTAAAAGTGAAATGCATATTTTCAAGCATAGGTTTACAATACCAAAGTATTATAAATGTAAATATGAAACATTAGGTGTTCGATAAGTAAATGCATAATAATTATTACATATATATATATATATATATATATATATATATATATATATAAACAATAATATAAGAACACATATTGA